CTTATCTTTGAATTCTTGTTTTTTACTGTTGGTTTCTGATGAGATTTAAGCCTACTTTTCAATAATGGTGATACTAGGACACTAAAAAGCTTTATTTACTTAAATAAGGCACCTAAAAATACAAAATAATAACACACACAAAGCACACATGAGTCAAATTTTATAGTTCATGGCTGTAAAAAAATAAGATTGAAAGCTATAAGAACTAGATTTTGTCTTAGTAATAGATATATTATAATGAGTACTTCACATTAAATCTTGTACTTGTACTTCGGAGAAGGGTGGTAGATAAATTAGAGAAGAAGAAAGACCTAGAGAACAAATACTTTCATGCCAATAGATATTTAAAAAATTTGAAAATATTTCCTCATAAATTTAAATACTCAAAACTTTCATAACATTAAAATTTTATTTATTAATTATTTTTCGATGTCAAGTTTATTCATATACATTGACAATAAAGTAGTTTAATTAAATTTTGAATATAACTCTGCAAAAATGGTATAATATGCACACTTTGACCCATCCATAGTGAGAGGGTTGTGAAGCATACATTTAGTACTACCCATTCTGCTGAAGTAGTCACTGTATTTTAACACTGGCTACATTCCAAGTGCTCCGAGGAAGCTGGCACTGGTTTGCTTTATTGGGTGCACATCATCTGTATCTATGTTGTGGTGAGATACTGATGTTTCAGCCAATTGGCCATCTAGTCCCACAAATATATTGGCACATTCAATCAAAAAGTTACTGATCTACTTTTATTGCGCTGGGAAACATGAACTGAGAATTGTCACAGTGAGTGGCACTGGTAAGTCTGAGACAAAGTGGTGTAGTCTGTACAGGATTCTCAGACATACCCTATTCAGAGTGATTCAGTCTTTAGTCAGAGCCAACCAATAACGTAGGAGAGAGAGAGATTGGACGTGTTGTTGGTGGATGACATCTGTCAACCAAAGTTATCTTACAAGCAGATGAGATGGTAGGCACCAAATGATGAAGTGAGTGTGGTATAGGACATTAATGAGCCTTCCTGAACCAGATGGTATACTGTCAAAGTGGACATGGTCCACAGAGGAGCTGGAGTAAAGCAGAATCAATGGACAATCTGCTTAAAGTACTTCATCACTCTACCACCCTATACAAGAGGTTTACCAGTCATCAGAAGTCCGAATCACTGAGATCCCCTACCACACTGTACCCCAATGTTTAGGAAGTCTGAACCAGTGTTGGACAAGAATACATGGGAGACAGACTTATGATGCCCTTCTAGGTACCTGTGAGTCAGGCTAAGTAATATTTCTCCCCTTAACATTTAAGGGTGCAGCCAAGAAAGATCTCGACCACTTCCTTAATCATTTTATATAGGTCTCTGTCTGGAATAAAAATGTCCAAGAACAGGTAGTGCAATGCTTTATTCTGCATCTTTATGGGTCAATGATTGCTATGATCAAGCATTTTGATAAGGAGGAAAGCAAGCCAGGTGAGAAAGCACTAAATAAAGGTGAAAGACAAGAATAATGGTGAAACCAAAATTATGTTCGGGAGAAAACACTGTTTTAACTGTTGTTTTTTGGCAAGAATAGTGCAGCACTATATCTGAGACAAAACATAGTTTTGCCTTTTGTTTTCTGGTTAGAATAGTGCAAGACATTGCCATTTTTTTAAATTTAAGTGTTTGAGTATGTTAAATTATCAGTAGTATATAAAATTCACAAACAGAAGCTTAAATATTACAACAAGGTGCATGCAGTGTTTTATGTGGTTGTCATAAGATATTTTTATTCAGGTATACTGAAATATTTAAAAAACATAGAGTTTCTGA